CAAACTTCTTTCAAATCCTCCCAGAGAATAGAATAGAATAGAATAGAATAGAATAGAATAGAATAGAATAGAATAGAATAGAATATCAGAGTTGGAAAGGAGCTTGGTGGTCTTCTAATACAACCCCCTGCTCAGGCAGGAGATCCTATGCCATTTCAGACAGATGGTTGTCCATTCTCTTCTTAAAAACTTCCAGTGTTGGAACATTCACAACTTTTGGAGGCAAGTTGTTCCACTTGCTAATTGTTCTGTCAGGAAATTTCTTCTTAGTACTAGGTTTCTTCTCTCCTTGATTAGTTTCCATCCATTGGTTCTTATCCTGCCCTCAGGTGCTTTGGAGAATAGCTTGACTCCCTCTTCTTTGTGGCAGCCCTTGAGATATTGGATCACTGCTATCATGTCACCCCTCATCCTTCCCTTCGTTAAACTTGACATACCCAATTCTAGCAACCGTTCCTTATATGTTTTAGCCTCCAGTCCCCTAATCATCTTTGTTGCTCTTCTCTGTACTCTTTCTAGAGTCTCAACCTCTTTTTTACATCGTGGTGACCAAAACTGGATGCAGTATTCCAAGTGTGGCCTTAGCAAGGCATTGTAAAATGGTATTAACACCACATAATCTTGATTCTATCCCTCTGTTAATGCAGCCTATCACTGTGTTGGCTTTTTTGGCAGCTGCAGCACACTGCTAGCTCATATTTAAGTGATTGTTCACTAGGACTCCAAGATCCCTCTCACAGTTGCTACTATTGAGAAAGGTAGCACCTATACTATACCTGTGCATTTGGTTTTTCTAGTCTAAATGTAGAACCTTTTTTTACTGTTGAATTTCATTTTGTTAGACAGCGCCCAATGTTCAAGTCTGTCAAGATCCTCCTGTGTCTTAAGCCTATCTTCCTGAGCGTTGGCTATTCCTGCCAACTTGGTGTCATCTACAAATTTGATCTATCCCCTCATCCAAATAATTGATAAAGAGTACTGGGCCTAAAACACTGCATATTTCCCTCCAGTTAATCCTCATATTTGGAAACAATCAAATAAATGCTCTCAGTATATTTGGACAAAACTATCTTAATTTAATCAGGTGGAGTTTTAAGTTAAAAAAGAAACATTAATGTCGAAAGAGTTAAAGCACCTTGGAAGATTTCAAATCCTTATGAAAGGCCAATCTTGTCAAATCCAATTGTACTGCCATAACCTATATTGCATGAAACAGTTTCTCATCCTGAGATTCACTTGCACTCAGTATGGTCATGAAAGATAACACAATCATATTTTCAACTGTATGGACAACAATAGCATATGTCTTAACATCTTGTCATATTTCATGTCATATTTCCTTCACAGAGGAACAATCTTTAAAAAAAATCTAACAAGACAATATTTTCTGTGAAGGCAGGACAGATGTCATTTTATTGGCAGTAGATTCTTCCTAAAAAGTTTTTCATAAAAAATGTTTTTTATCCAAAACTTTTTTATCCCAAAACTTTAGGCATACCCATTTCTATCTAAAAGGCAAATGAGAGGAATATCATGTTACTGAACTGAGAAATCCATATTTCTAGTCTATGAACTCTTTTGACTTAGAACAGTCTATAGATATCCAAAATGGCAGCCACTTTGTTGGAAATATCAGAACCTTGTCAATCATTTACTGCTATCAGATTGTTGTGAATGTTGCAATTATAGTTGGGGGACTAATCTTTATTGTGCAGAGAAAAATATTCAGTACAATTCGATAGATTCTTAGTGGAAGAAATTGTCAAAGATATGGAATCTTAAAAAGATGTAAGGTTTTGGTGATCTCGTTTGCAGCAATACAAAGGCTAAGATAATTTGATAATTCTTTGTTACTCTCATGCAAATAATAAATAAATATCAATTGATTGGCACCTCAATTAACTATCTAGCTTCTTCAGTATTTCATAAATCAATGCCTGTGGTTTCCTACATATATATTGAATAAATACATTCAGAAATGTTGCATTCTTCTACAGAATAGTATATTTCAGAGATACCAAGTTACAGAGATGCTAATGATAATTATTTTGTTTTGCTACACTATGTTGAATAATCCATAATTAGTTATGGCACATGATATGTTAAGCCATAAAATCAGGTTTATATATAAAATTACAGTGTCTGTGTTCTGTTACACTAAGTCAAAGCCTAAAAATAAAAACAAGGAATATAATGAGGCATGATAGAGACTAAAGAACATTTAAAATAAATTTCAGAATAGGATTTTATTTATCATTCAGTTACAGGTAGTCTTTGATTTACAATTGTAATTGGGGCTTGAACTTCTGTCACTAAGTTGTTAAATGAGTTATATCCAATTGTTTGATCTTTTTGTTGCAGTTGTTAAGCAAATATGGCTTCTCCCATTGACTTTGCCCCTAAATTGCTAAGTCCTCTATTTTCAACCACATGACAGCAGGAATCTTGCAAGAGTTGTAAGTACAAGGAACAATAATAAGTCACTTTTTGCAGCACTGTTGTAACTTCAAATGGTTATTAAACAAATGGTTGTAAGTTGAGAACTATCTATATGTGTACTAGGCAGTGCTTTTTTTTTGTCATAGAACTCACCAGAACATAGTTCCGGCATGGTTTTTTGACAGATTTTCCAAGTTTTAAAAGTAACTTTTGAAAATTTGATGTTTGGTCCACATGGAGTTGAATTGCCCTATCAAGCAGCGGCAAAATCATTAAAATGGTACATGCATACTGCTTGTGTGTCAAGTCCAATGCATGCATACTTCATCCAGCTGCTTGGCTTGTGGCACTGCTCAGCTTGTGATTGGTCATGTGGTTGCACACTGAGTGCTTACTGTGGGTGACAACCATTATGTTTCATTACACAACTGATGTGTGTGGGTATTTGTGCAGTGATTGACTACATGCGATTAACAAGATGTGAGTTCCGGCACCTTTTTTCTTACAAAAAAAGCACTGTTACTAGGAATTAATTTCAGAAAACATAGAAGATCCAATCTGCATTGGACATACAAGGATTGGAGTATCACATGTTTCATAGTTCTAAGAATAATAACGTTGAATAAAATATGATCACACAAGAAGTAAAACTCAGGAATAGGTTATTCACTGATTTTGAAATGCAATCAACTGAGAGGTAGTTCTATAAATCACAAGATCACCTCTTTTGTAAAAGTCATGAAACATATTGAACAAATCATCTTGAAAGACATCTGGCCAGATTGCTGTAATATTTAAAGCATGTTATCATCTTACTGTTAAAAAAAGTAGATCCTGCTGTCTTCTTTGTTTATATTCTGAATATTAAACAAATGTTTTTAAACATGTTTGGGGAAAGTTCTCATACTTTTAAATGTAGCCTTAGTAAATTCACATGAGGAATTGATGAAAAGAAAAAGTACTGTAGGATCCAGAGATACCTTGATTAGAATTTTGTAATACGTATATAATTTAAATAGGAAAAGGCACATGATAACTATCTCCCTGGGAATAATGAAACATGTTGAACCAATTGATGTTCTGCATTCCCAAATACTTGCCAAAAACACCTGAAGTAAAAAAAATCTGAAAAGATGTATTGAAGCATAACAGTAACATGCAATACAATTGTGAAATAGTTACCTGCTTAGTTCACGTTAAAATGATTAATCCTGTTTAAAGATATCTAAAGAACAAAACCCTGGAATGAAGTTATAAGATTTCATTAGCTACATGAATAGCTAGCCTATATTTAATGTTTTCTCAAATAATTTTATTTTCACAAATAATTTAATACAAGTTATCTTTATTAAGTTATGGATGTTATAGATAAGAATAGGTATCCTTAGATCTGAATAATTCACTACAATTAAATATGAAACCAAGAGATGGCAGGCAGGTGGGCAACATGGGGACTAGAGGTTCACAAATACGTTCCAAATTCTCATTGTTACTGGTTTGACCTTTTTCCTTTGAACTCAGTTATCTGGAACTTTTTGTTTCTTCTCTATACCATTCAAAATAGGAGATTCTCAGTCTTCTGTACTAGAAATAATCCATGATACTCCAGGTGTGGCCTGATCCTAAAATAAGCCTATTTCATTCACAGTATCATGTCTTGAACACCCCAAACTATAGTTTATTTGAAGATTTAACTACTAGAGAACATCCAAAGTATGACTGGAATGGGTAGACTGATGTGGTCCAGGGAAGAAATGTTCTGGAATTTTCAAGAATTTCCATTCCTGAGAAGAAGAAAAAAAGTAAATTATTTTGTAGCTGGAAATGCATTGAACATTATGCTTCATTAAACTACATCTTTCTGCAATGTCCAAAGGCTGTTGCTTTTGATTGAAAGTAATTGCATATATTAATTTGTCTGTGATGGTATCAATATGTCATAAGTCACTATGTGAAAATGGTCTATAACTATGAAGCCATAATTGAATATCATACTATAAAGGTGCTCTTTGTGAGGTGTTTTACAAATTATGGCTAGCAGGAAATTTGTCAGAAGATGAACTTAACCAACATTCTTAATGTGACAATTTGACTCTTTAAATTAATTATCAGTTGAAATATTGGATGAATGTGTATCATATAACAATATCTTTACAAATACAGATTCTCATTTTCCTGCCGAATCTGCTTTGCTTCAACACAACAAACACCTATGCCAAATTCCAATGTTCAAAAACTTTGGAACCAAATGTAATAAGCAAGTTTCTGAGTAGCAATTTTGCAGAAACATCATTAACTGATTAGCAGTTATTTTCTCCTATATTTATCAGGTCACTGTGATTAATTCAGTTCTTGTCAAATCCCTCTAGGGCTCTAACATTTGTCTAACATTTAGACTGCTGAAATAGATATTCAAAATTTCTATATATAAGCCTTGCATTATTTTGAGTTATAAATATTATTATATACCTACCAGGTATATAACCTACCTTAACATAATACTTTCTCTTAAAAATAATTCATTTTTTCAGGCAATTTAATATATTCAGGTATTATTAGTAATGCTTATCCATGAAAATCTTGGAATATTTGCAAAAAAGATGATGATTTTAGCGCTTCTGTCTCATACAGTATGCAAAGCAAATGCAAAGAGCTGCACTGTAATTGAACCAATTCCTATTCTGCACAAATATTATCAGTCAGGTGATTTCATCATTGGTGGCATTATTCCTCAAATCCTTAGGCCATATAATCCAATAGACTTCAGTGACCATCCCCATCATGCAATGATTGATGAGCTAATGTAAGTAATTTAAGATCACAGTCTAATGTGAATTATTATAAATCATATATTTACTGAACCATTCAATATCTTTTCCTCCTCATTCCATATATGCTTGACAAAGAATTAAAAGGTTTTGCTTGTATTGCACGCTCTGTCTCTCTTGCATAGAAGGACATGTCATGACATTGTCTTCTTTCTTTTACAGCCAACTCATAATAAGACTAAATATGTTAAACAAGGAAGCAAAAGCTTTATAATTATTTATGTGTACTATAAACTGAATCCTATACTTTTTGTTAAAGCCTTTTGCAGTCTCATTCTTCAAGATTTCTAGTAATTCTTTGTAATCATAATTGTTTGTTGCAAAATATGGATTTAATTTTTATACTTTTAAACCATTACTGGCCATTTATTTTATTTTTGATTGTTGGTTGGAAAGAGGAGTTTTAGGATTGAATTCTTGATTGGTGTTAAGTGTTATTGATTTACACCCATTTAAAAGATGGGCAGAAATGCACATTTTTATTGTCTACAGATAATTTTAGTACCCATACTTATATGTATAATATTTTGTCAAATAGCTTTACTTATAAAATCTTTTAACAGTGAAATGCTGTTCTTTTTGGATTATAAATTGTAGTTAATGCAATAGAAAATATTATGTGATATTCTTTGAATACTGCTGAGGATGTTGTATAAAGACTAGTTATGATAGCCTTTGACTTGGAGTTGGCAGACAAAACTTTTCATTATCTCATATTTTATTTTGAATTCTTAGTTGTGTCTAATTAACTCTATAGCAATGACTGCTTGTTAAAGAGGCGTATGTTGTCCTTGAAGGTATTATCAATATTTAGAATTAATCAAGAACTGTCCATACTTCACAAATGGCAGGTGGCCAAAATCATTCTTATGCAATGCAATGACCAAATAAATGCAATGCAATGAATTCATGTTTAATTTGAAGTAGTGATTTGCTGTTCTTTGCTACTTTCTCAAACATTATCTTTATTACCTGTCTGTCAATATATACTGCTCAAAAAAATAAAGGGAACACAAAGGTATAGCATCCTATACGTTTGTGTTCCCTTTATTTTTTTGAGCAGTATATATATTCAGGCATTTTTTTCTTCTAAGTTATTTATGTATTTTTATTTGTATTGTTAATGAAGACTCTGTATTTTGTTAATATTTGTATAACACTAAATTCTGAATATGTATATTTTTGAGGTTGCCATTATTATTTTAATCTCATTAATACTATGTTTATTTATTTGATAAAGTAAAAAAGTTTTTCTATTCATATTAATAACTGTATAAAAAGTACTTTTAAGAATTAAGCCATATAATGAAAAATGTTAATATCATTTTTGACATGTTAGAATTTCTAAACACAGACTTGCTTTTTCTTTTTTTAGCTGTCTTTTTGCCATTCTATTAAATACATGGGGGATACATTTGTTCAGATTAAAATAGTTTTGCCTTCCAGTGGAAATGCTATGTCCAGCATATCTTGCTTTCCTCCACTAAATTTTCTATTTGTGACTTAATCTAATTTAAAATGTTTTTAAAGCAATCATCCTCAGGGTATTCTCAATTGGAAAAGATAAAAGTTTCCAAGTAAGTAAGCAATTTATCATGTTGGTTATAAACATTGCTATATCAAACCTTGCCTGTATAACTTATTAGGAAAAAAAAACACCAATAGTTGATTTAGTGTAAGAAAAGATTTATCCTTGATCATAATAGTTATTACTATCTTGCTTTATTCTCTAGGAACTGCAGAAGACAGTAGTTTGAACAAAGAGAGCTTGCTTCTATGTTTTGTATAACTCGACTCCTTACCACTTATTCTCTTCTCTGATAATACTTTGTCTTTGCTTTTTTTCTAGTACTTCAAGAATAGCTTATTCTTGTGTGGCTTTGGTTATGTCTACTAGCTTTTGCTCCCCTCCTTTCTATACATCTTTTGTTTATCCATTTGCGGATACAACACTAAAATGCTAAGACTGCATTTTACTGAAGGCTGCACTCTGAAAACCATTACTTTTGACTAGAGCAAACCCAGCCCAATCCACTATGCAGAATTTCCATGTGACATGATGTATCTCTGTTATTTGCAGTGTACTGACTAAAAATTATCAGCATACGCTGGCCTTAATATTTGCTGTAAAGGAGATAAATGAAAACCCACAGATCTTGCCTAATTTTACATTAGGTTTCAACATTTATGATAGCTATTATGAAGCAAAATGGACCTATCACAGTGCTATGGAACTTCTCTCCACACAGAAAAGATTTATTCCCAACTATAGGTGTGACATCCAGCATAATCTGGTAGCTATTATCGAAGGGCTTGATATTGATGTCTCACTTCCTATAGCAAACATTCTGAGTATCTACAAGGTTCCACAGGTTGGTTGGGTGCTTTTTAAAGATTTCTTTTATCTTTCTAGATTCTACTATTTGAATTTAAAAAATGTGCACTTGAGATAAATAGGCAGTTTAATTACTTTTATCAATAATATAAAAAATAATTGTGTCAGTTCATTCTCCAGATCTTAGAGATCATTCTTAGTTATATGAACACCTTTCTAGGAGTCAGGATGTCAGATCAGATTCTGATAAACTGAATTCTTGTTTATAATATTTTTATTTATCTGCCATAATTAAAAAATAAGATGTTTTTGCTTCAATTGTTTAACATTTTTTCTTCAGAAGATATATAATTTTGTGCTCCTTTTTTAAACTGTTCCAATACTCCTACTTCTCTTCAGTAATGCTTAAGAAGGAGATTTAGTTTCATGTCAAATTCTCAGTTTTTCAATATCTAAGGTGTATATGCCACATGTCCAAATATAAAAGAAACACCCTATTTGTAAAATTTGGTTGGTTTTTTTTTAAAGCTGGAGAATTACTGTTTTGAAAAATATACTGCTCAATATATCTTATTCTCAGTGTAAATATTATTGTCTCTGACAGTTCTCCTGATTGTTTAAACTTTTCAAATAACTTACTTTTTCTCTCTTTCATTTGAGTTCTTTAATTAGGGCTATATATATAAGTATGTTTTTCAGAAGGATGATAGTTCCTTCCTTAAAACCCAAACCAAAGTTTTATCATAAATGCCACAGGATTGCTTTAGATTTATGAATTTGCTGTAACTTTTTAGTATAATACAGTTTGTGTAATATAATGATCATGGAAGTTATATTATGAATAAGAAGGTTACTGATATCTGAATCCAACTATTTGCCAGTATATATTTTCGCAGATATCAGAGTATAAAATTATCTCAGCAATTAATCAAAAATCAAACAAAAGTCCTACACAAATCTTTCTCTTCAAATGCATTTATGCTATTTATGATGAATAATAAACTTTTTAAATATCCTGGTCCACAATAAGTACAGCCAAGTAAGAAACTACTAATATATAAGTTCTAGACAGGGACAACTAAAAATTTAAAAAAAAATTAGGGAAATTTTTTCATAATTTGTATATGACCAGCAAAAGATTTCCTCATCCCAACTAATTATTTTCATGAGAATAAAAAGGCCTGTTCATTGTATCATTTTTTTTCAACTTTAACAACTTTTAGATGTGTGATCTTCAACCCCCAGAATTCCCCAGCATATTCCCCTATATAATATTTATTATTTATTACTTATTTATTTTTTTATTTTCATTGAATTCATAATGTATAAAACATTACTCCTCTTCACATTTTCTATTTGAATACAAGTTCAAAGAAATTGGAGAAGAATATTACTTTATATTGATGTCAACACCTTCTTTATAATTGGATGACTGCTAGAAGAGAGCTAGCTTGAGATGTAAATGTAATCTGTTTCTGTTGATGGACAATCTTAAAATCCTAAAATAAACACATTGTAAATTAGCAAATGCATGTTCTAAATCCATCTCTCTCTCCCTCTCTCTCCCTCCCTCTCTCTCTTTCTCTTTCTCTTCCCCCTTCACATCTTCAACATCCTATATTATTGTATAGTTCACATACGGGTCCACTGCAGTGATGAATAATCAAAGAGAATCACTCCCTTTCTTTCGGATGGTTCCAAATGAAACTTTGCAGTATAAGGGTATTCTCCAGTTACTTCTGCATTTCAGATGGATATGGGTTGGAATTTTGGCAATAAATGACGACAATGGAGATAGGTTTGTGCAGAGAATACTTGCAGGATTTCCTATGAATGGTATCTGTTTTGCCTTCATAGAGAGAATCAATATTCCTTTCCTTGATGATTATATTAGTTCAATTAGTGAAATGATTGGAATTGTTGAAAAAATTAAAAAGAGTAAAGCTAATGTGTTGGTTCTCTATGGAGAAACTCGAACAATGATATATTGGAGATGGATGCTTCGACTATTTGAGGTAAAAGGCATGGTGTGGATTATGTCAGCCCAGATTGATCTCTTTTCCTTACCTTATCAAAGAGACTGGGACATCCAAGTCATCAATGGAGCACTATCTTTCACTGTTAAATCATGCAAGCTTCCAGGTTTTCAACATTTTTTTCAAAACAGAAAACCTTCCAACTCAAAGGGTGACAATTTTCTACTAGCCTTTTGGGAACAAGCATTTTTTTGTAAATTTTCACATTCCCATACAGCTGGGGATATTTGCATGGGAGAAGAGAAGGTTGAGAACCTTCCTGGGACAGTTTCTGAAATGTTCATGATGGGACCTAGTTACAGTATCTACAATGCTGTTTATACTATGGCTCATGCACTTCATGTGCTGCAGAAATTGAAATCCAGATATGGATCAATGGCAGTTGAGCAAAGATGGAAGTTTCAAAATCAGCCATGGCAGGTGACTGTTGATAAATGAAATTGAATGTGATATACTTATGAATGCAATAGTAGAATTCTATTAATGCAGAAGCCACATGTAGTTTTTATTTTAGACATTTACCTGGTATGTTTGGACACATTAGAAAAAGTTCATGAATAAATATACCATTCTTAACGCCATTCGTTTTTCTACTGAAGTGTGTACCATTTAATAGTTTGTCAGTTTTTATTTTTATGCATGTGAATATATACATAGTCAAATAATGTCATTCCTGTATTTAAGATCCTGAAAAGTATATATTATATAAAATAATTTTTAGTTGTAAATGCATATACAATATGACATTCATCTTAGTGACTAAAACAGAATACTTTAACTGTGTGCATGTACCACACTGGAGATTGAGCTGGATAATTAAAAAAGGTATTTTATTTTATGATTCAATGAATAACACAGTTGGTCTTTATTTTCTTTAAGTTTCATCACTTGCTCAGAGGTTTTTCATTCAACAACAGTGGCAGAAACAAAATTTCATTTGATCACAATGGAGAATTAATAGTTGGGTTTGGCATTATGAATTGGGTCACATTTTCAAATCAAACATTTCTTAAAGTGAAGGTTGGAAAAATGAATCATATGTCCACATCAGAACAAGAGTTCAGCATTAATGACCATGAAATCACTTGGCATGACATTTTCAACCAGGTAAGTAATGAAAATATTCAATTTAACAATGAAATGATGTGCAGAAATTACTGGTTTGTATACTATAAATATAGTAGTTAAAAGCCTATATTCTAAGTCTAGTAACCTATAATATGACCTCTTAACTATAATGGTCAGGTAACCTGGTACATTCCAAATGAAGTGTAATTTCACAATTTTGTTTGTGAAATCACACTATATATATATACAATATATATATATGTTTTCTGAGGTTTTCGCGGGTATTTGTATGTAGGTCTTTGGTTGTTCGGGTTTTCTCCCACGTAAAATTGGAAGTGTCTTGGCGACGTTTCGACGAAGTCCCATTCGTCATCTTCAGGCTGGTGCTTTCAGCTTCGTGCTTTGAGCAGCAATGTGTGGTCTTAGCTGTTTATTCCTTTTAACTGCCAGTGGGGGTATGAACTGATTGGGTGGGAGCTTGGCTGTGTTCTGATTGGGTGGAGGTGTGAACACACCTCCACCCAATCAGAACACAGCCAAGCTCCCACCCAATCAGTTCATACCCCCACTGGCAGTTAAAAATGATACCAGACCCACACTCACAAAAACCACACAGGATGTCACCACCACACATCCACGCAAAAAACAAACCCAAAGCCACACCGATGACGAGGCACGACCACAAACCAGAAGCCAGATCACAGCTGCATCATTAGCCACTTTAAACCCCTCCAATCCATACATGAAGCAAACTGACACCCTCCATGAAGAGGAGACACAACCACGAACGAGAAGCCAAAAAATAGCAAGGCAGCCCAAAATCTTAAACCCCTCTGCAACTCAGACTAACCTGAGCACAACCAAACAGAACACTCCCCCAGCCAATCAGAGCACAGCCAAGCCCCTAACCATTCAGAACACACCTCCACCCAATCAGAACACAGCCAAGCTCCCACCCAATCAGTTCATACCCCCACTGGCAGTTAAAAGAAGAAACAGCTAAGACCACACATTGCTGCTCAAAGCACGAAGCTGAAAACACCAGCCTGAAGATGACGAATGAGACTTCGTCGAAACGTTGCCAAGACACTTCCAATTTTACGCGGGAGAAAACCTGAACAACCAAAGACCTACATACAAATACCCGCGAAAACCTCAGAATATATATATATATATATATATATATATATATACGATTAAAAAGGTTAAAAATATGAACCCTGGGGGTATACATAGTGAAGAAATAAAATGAACACCAGGGTAATAAAAACTATAAAAGTTTTTAATTAATTAAAACTATAAAAGTTTAATTAAAAGCGCCAAGCTTTCGCCGTCACCTGCCGGCATCTTCAGGGCTAGCGCGCCAGAGAATGAGGAAGTCCTTTATAGGCGTGTCAAGGTTTGCGCCCGGCTCCTTGATCTTGTTATTGGGCCTGATTGATTCAATTGCGTACGGTTAACCTGTTTTTCCTTTCTCTTTTTGGTTACATTTCTATCTTCATCCATCCTTATTTCTCTCAACCTTGGGGTGGTTGGGTGGCAACTCCGGTTGTTTCGGTTGTCTTTGCATTCTGATCTCCCCCCAGGTTCAGGTGGTAGTGCACATTCCACATTCCTTTCACAGCCATGTCCTACCCAATTGTTCCTTTTAGAGTAACTTTCCTTTTTAGTCCCAATACTTTCATTTTTAGTGCACCCGTCATCCGGATGGTCTTGCGAGCTGTTACGAGTCAAATACGGCGTGGGGGGGTGTTCAGCAGGGTGGAGGGGTCGTTTCCTGGTCATCGCCATACCCAGCTGTCCTGCGCGCATCCTGCTTCGGGTACTCGGTCCGGGGTGTGTGTGTGTGATAGTCGAATCACGCTCCTTCTGGCTGTCATAACGTTCCTCTTCAGCTCTCCCCCTTTCTGCACTGTTGGTGTTCGTGTGCATTCCATGGGAGTCCTCGGGATCATCGGGTAGGGGGCGTGACGACTCAATCCCTCGCACTCCACCGCTCTCTGATCTTCTCCCCTCCTCCCTGGCGGTGCTCGGGGGTTCGTCGTTGGCCATGTCCCGTGATCTATCCCCCCTGGATCCAATCGCTCTGGCTGCGTGAGGGGGTCTTCTCCTCCCTTCCGGACCGACCATGATGTTTCTTTTAGCGCGCAGGCGAGCTGTTGCGTTTGGCGATTCCCCCGCATCTCCACCTACCGTATCCTCCTTCGTCTTGTTCTCACTATCAGAACTCCAGATCTCAGTTTCCACCACCCCCCTAGTCCTCTGGGATTGCGGTAGCCTCACTGGGGTGGTCAGGGTGTCCCGTAGTTGCCCTTCCTCCTCCGGATTGCACCAGGTCTGTTGGGCAGTTTGCCCTTCCTCTTTGGTATCACCGGGATTATTGTTAAGCCATCGGGGGTGTTGCCGCTGATTATTAATGCTCCATGATCTTAAAGCCACGTATGCCGGGCATAGGTCGACATGTCTGTTAATAGATCTATTATCTGAGAGCCATGCCTCCCTAAGTAGGCGGCCCCCTTTGGTGTTATCATTCGCCAATACGCTGACGCCACTAAAATTAAACCTATGACCCAGATCTACCGTGTGTGCCCATATCTGGGAGTAACAATCTCCCCTTCTCACTGCCAATCTGTATTCGTGGACCCTGGTCTTAATCCGTTTAGCAGTCTCCCCAACGTAATTGCACTGGCAGTCCATGCAATCAATCCTATAAACAGCTGCCGATCTTTCAGTGTTGGGGAGCGGGTCCTTGGGGCGCACTATAGCCGCCCGCAGTGTTTGGTTTGGTCTATGGGCCACCTGTATGTTATACGGTGCCAGGATCCTCGCTGTGGCTTCTGATACATTATGAATATAGGGGAGGGTGATGCGTGTGGTTGCCTGAGGTATGGATTCTTGGGATGTAAGGTTACCCCGGGGTCCAGGTGGTTTACTGAACTGATTGATGAGCTTTACCGGGTAACCATTGTGTCTACACATTTGGAAGAGGTGGTTTCTCTCTTCCTTCTTGGCTCTGACGGTGCTGCAGTGTGTCTCCACCCGTTTAAATAATGTCCTGACACAGCTGACTTTATGGGCCATCGGATGATTACTCCCAAAGTGGAGAATCCTATCCGTGCATGTTGGTTTTCGGTACACCCTGGTGGCCAGACATCCATCCACCTGGCGCTGCACTAATACATCCAGGAATGCCAAACTGCCCTGATCTTCCTCTTCCATAGTAAATTGGATGTCTGGGTATACCGAGACTTTATGGGCATTTTGACTGACTTTATGGGCATTTTGAATGAACCTGGGGGGAGATCAGAATGCAAAGACAACCGAAACAACCGGAGTTGCCACCCAACCACCCCAAGGTTGAGAGAAATAAGGATGCATGAAGATAGAAATGTAACCAAAAAGAGAAAGGAAAAACAGGTTAACCGTACGCAATTGAATCAATCAGGCCCAATAACAAGATCAAGGAGCCGGGCGCAAACCTTGACACGCCTATAAAGGACTTCCTCATTCTCTGGCGCGCTAGCCCTGAAGATGCCGGCAGGTGACGGCGAAAGCTTGGCGCTTTTAATTAAACTTTTATAGTTTTAATTAATTAAAAACTTTTATAGTTTTTATTACCCTGGTGTTCATTTTATTTCTTCACTATATATATATATATATATATATATATATATATATATATATATATATATATGTATGTAGGTCTTTGGTTGTTTGGGTTTTCTCCCACGTAAAATTGGAAGTGTCTTGGCGACGTTTCGACGAAGTCCCATTCGTCATCTTCAGGCTGGTGTTTTCAGCTTCGTGCCTCGAGCAGCAGTGTGTGGTCTTGGCTGTTTCTTCCTTTTAACTGCCAGTGGAGGTATGAACTGATTGGGTGGGAGCTTGGCTGTGTTCTGATTGGGTGGAGGTGTGTTCTGATTGGTTAGGGGCTTGGCTGTGCTCTGATTGGCTGGGGGGTTGGCTGTGTCTGATTGGCTGTGCTCTGATTGGCTGGGGGAGTGTTCTGTTTGGTTGTGCTCAGGTTAGTCTGAGTTGCAGAGGGATTCAAGATTTTGGGCTGCCCTGCCATTCCTTGGCTTCGCGTTCGTGGTCGTGCTTCCTCTTCATGGAGGGTGTCAGTTTGCTTCATGTATGGATTGGGGGGGTTTAAAGTGGCTAATGATGCAGCTGTGGTCTGGCTTCTGGTTTGTGGTCGTGCCTCATAGTCAGTGTGGCTTTGGGTTTGTTTTTTGCGTGGATGTTTGGTGGTGACATCCTGTGTGGTTTTTGTGAGTGTGGGTCTGGTATCATTTTTTGTGTTAGGGAGTCGTTTGTCAATAAGGGCGGGTTTCCAAATGGCTGGTAGGCGGGAGGTATCATCTCGCTTGTTCATGCTGTGTGGGCGTTTTTCTATCTCGATGGCTTCTCTGATTATTCTGTTATTAAAATGTTCACTTTTGGCAATGGTTCTGGTATTTTTAAAGTCAATTTCATGTCCTGTGGCTTTAAGGTGTTGGACCAGGGAAGATGTTGGTTCCTCTTTTTTGACTGAGTTCTTATGTTCTTCAATGCGTGCACTTATTCTTCTGTTGGTTTGTCCGATGTATGTGGTGGGACAAGTGGTGCATGGGATTTCGTATACTCCTTGATTTTCTAATTCAATTTTATCTTTGGGGTTTCTAAGGATGGTGGATATTTTTCTGTTTGTGCAGAATGCTGTTTTGATGTTGTGTTTATGGAGGATCTTACTGATTCTGTCTGTGATGCCTTTTATGTATGGGAGGATGGCTTTGCCGTTTTCTTGTTCTTTGTCTTGGATTTTAGTGGGGGTTTCTTTTTGGATTAGGTTTGTAATCTTATTTCTATGGAATCCATTGGATGTTAGTACATTGGTGAGAGTGTGTAGTTCGGGTTTTAGGTGTTGTTCGTCAGCTAAGCGTTTTGTTCTGGAGATGAGTGTCTTGGCTACAGAGTTGATCTGTGCTGGGTGGTGGTGTGAGAGAGCGTGCAGATAGCTGTTTGTGTGTGTTTTCTTCTGGTAGATGGTGTGTCCTAGG